TTTAAACCATCAAGATTCTGAGATTGTAAGGGATGCTGAAGGCGGCCTGGAGAGGCTTCAGGGGCTGAATCGGGCCTGGGACACAATCAAACAAAGAGACCAACACACAAACAAAGCAAAGAAGCAAACCAACAAACGAACCAGCAAGCCAAACAACCAAACAAAGCAAGAAACCAAGAAACCAAAGCAAGAAATCAAACAAGCCAGCTGTGGAAAAAAACAAAAACTGGAAAACAGGAAAGCGCAAACAGTGTCAAGCCACTTGTGCCTTGCTGGGCACCTTTTCCAAATGACAAAATACATTTTCAAACAAAAACCTACAGTTGCATCCCCAGCTGAGAAAAAGCCAAGCCGCACGCGCTTGTACGACACACATCGGGAGCCGGAGGCCCTGAAGTTGATCAACCAAGAGCCAAGAGCCAGCCATATCCTTGGACCGTGTCAGAAGCATAGGTGCTCTTTTAGGGTAAATAGATGGGTGTCCCTAGACATTTTAAACCGCCAGGCAAACGAGGAATCGAAACCCATCGATTTTTCGACCAAAACAACCAAAAACGACACCTATGGTCAGAAGGCGCCCCAAGAATGCTGCATTTAGAGAACATGGCCTCACTCGGTCGGATTGCCTACCTTCAGCATGGCAACCAAGCGTCCTTCTCCAAGACCGCCTGAGTTGACTGTCCAGAAAAGTCCTTTACCAACATGAAGACATCTACCAACAAAAAAATCATCAAGCAATGACCTTGGATGGTGCAACTCACCCAGAACACAGCTAGATCTGCATGCTCAGTGCAAAAAAACAGGTGTGGGAAATGACCACTTCTGTGATACAACAAAAAGGGCTTCCCAAAGACTAATACCGTACCCCATGTACAGGGGGAGATTCCCAAAAGTATCACAGAAGTGGGAATAAACCCCGAGTGATTCCACAACCCTGAACAAAAATACATCGACCGTGTCCCATGTTGCCCTTCTGCCGGCGCCATAGGGGCGCTTTCTCGGGTGCAGTGCGTCCCGGATATGGGTGCGGAGTTCTCGCACATGTCGAGAAAAAAAATAAACTAGGTCCTCCAGTAGCGAGGTTAGAATCAGGGGCACCGAGTTTTTGTTGTCCTTTTTGTTCCTTTTTTGCATTTTTTAGGTAGTCTATTTTAGTAGGGGAACCCTCCCAACCAAAAAAGGGGAGAGAAAAGGCACTTAGCTGGGGGACCTAGAAAAGAGTGCCCACAGCCTGGAACTTGCTTCGCAAGCCAAGCGACTTCGCGACACGTCGCACGTTCAGGCATCAAGGGAGTAGCCACATCAATTCCAACCCGGACAAAGGCGCCAACTCGCCATGAACTTTATTTCCGCCCTCAGATCCCCCGCTAAAAGTTTTTACCTTTTAGTGGGTTAAATGGAAACTACCATTTAACACAAAACGGCTCAAAAAGCTAAGGGGATGCCTGGAATAAATGAATGAAACCCTGTAAGCATTGGGATAAACCATCGGGTGCAAGCTTTTGCCAAAAGTACTGCAGTCGCCCTGAAGTTCGGTTTGCTGGGCTACCCCAGCCGCGGATGGAAACAGAGCCAGCGCCAATCCCAAGATGCCCAAAGTGAACGAGGTCAATGCGCGACATGCGGCGATGTAAAGTATTACAGTAGCGCATGGCTCCTCAGGCTGCGTCTCTGGTTTCTTGGCTTGGAATACAAACTCCTAGTAGTTTCTATTGTCAATGCAAACCGATATGAACATACTCCCCCCGTAGGCACACATACTAATGTAGTCAGGGCTGGCGGGACAATACCTGATTCACTGACATGGGACTTTGGTTTGTAACCCCCCCGTTTCCTAATGGTATGTTGGAGAGAATGTCGCATGTCATCCCCTTTACCGTAGACAGAACATATTGAGTGGTGTCTTTTTTGCGCTGGAACCACTTGGCGCAGGCTTCCGACTGCTAGGAGTTGTTTGTTGACTTCCAGGTTCCCATGCAGCGGATGAAATGTTGCTTCTCATTTTTGCCACAGCTTAAAGCTTTGTCTCCCCACATGAGCTGCTCCGGCTTGTTCAGGGGGCTCTGCCGTCGGAGATACCCAGAAGGAGATGGTCATAAAAAATAAACATCACTAAGGGGAAAGCTTTGGTCAGAGCCCAAGCTCTTGTCCGCGGAAGTGCGGTTCGTGCAGCACATGGAAAAGCTGGGGCAAATCTGCGGATGCTTGCCCCTGCACCAGGCTCTTTTCCTCAGCTCTTGCCCAACTCAACATCAAATTTCGGTGGGAGAAACAAACCCAACCGTTTCACAAGTGCCAGTTGACTCACTGATCATGGAGTCAAGGAGGTTCATCGATGTATGAGTGGGCTCGAAATCCCCCATTCAATGTGGCGATGCATCCAAAATGGGATGCCTCTGGCCACCAATGATCTGGGCAAATGAATTGCTACGATTCTCAAATGGTCAAATTACGATGTTTCACACATTGACATGCAGGTGAGCTGGCTAAAATTTGCCCAGACTTTCACCCAGCGAACTTATGATCGTTCTGCTTCAGGGCTCAATCATTGATCGGCGGGAGATCAGCAGGGCCACAATTGGCTTGGCCAAGCCCCCTCTCCAACATGAGTCAGTTGCAGTCCATTTGCGTTTTCGTCCCCTGGACAAAAAAGTCCAGTAGTGATAGATGCCCTTTAAAACCAACAGCGGAAAATAACAAAAAATAATCTTAACCAAATGGAAGGCAAGTTGCACTCCTAGTGTTGTCCGTATCTGTTTTGCAATAATTCCAAAACCTGATGTGGCTGTGGGTCAAAACCAATGGGATCCCATTTTGGGGTGGGTGCACCACCCATTTTAGAACCTATTTTAGTGGGGATTGGGATGCTCACTGGGGGTACGGGATTTTGACCCATGGCCATGTAAGGAACCCGCAACCACTGTAAAGGACCTACATAGTGGTCTCGTTTTACGGCCGGCTGAGCTCAAAACAATGAAAGGACAATTTGGGTTGCGCTGAATTTGATGCTTGTCACTGGAGAGCCAAAGGAATCCCTCGGCAATTTTTCCACAGGGCTTGAGAATCTATCTGGAGCCTTTTCGCTGAGCGTAGTTTTCAGGTATGAATTTAAACTGAGGACTCTTTGCTTGTATAGTATGCTCCTCCCCCTCCTCGGACCCACCTTGCAAATGCTGAGCAGATCCTTCAAGTGTCTTTGGCATAGTTGTAAAATACGTCCCTAACAAAGGCCTGAAAGGAAGTCCTATTGATCACATCAAATTTAGATTACATGTTTCAATTGAACTACGCAGAAGAAAACCACCAGCTTTTCTTTTCTTGCTAGATTCCTGCTTGGAATGGAATTCCTAGTGTTAGCATGCAAAACAAGAGATTACAACTGAAAACATATTTGGAAAGAAAAGGCTATCTAAAACCTAATTCAACACAACAATAAACTTTAACATATTCCCAAAAAGAAAGAATACTTGAAAAACAATTCCTACCTAAAATACAACTCAAGAACCATTGAAGTCTAATCAAAGTCCTACTTGAGCAAAACACCTTGCAATTTAGAACCTGTAGACAAATGGAAGTGAAATTGCATTTTCCCTGAGTTCTATGGGTTGTGTCACTCTTTTTTAAATTCTTAAGGGGCAGGCACAGAAGAGCTAACACCCAGCCAGTCTTTTGTCACTAGATTCTACTACTTGGAAAGGAATTCCTATCTAAAATCCAACTCAAAATATCAGAATTCAGTAAAACTCCTAAACTTGAAGCCTTGCAGTTCAAGACTTTCAAACAAAAGAACTGAACTGGTACTTCCCCTTGTTTTTTATCGGCGTTTCACTCCTTTGAAGGGGGCAAGCCAATTTCAGTAGGGAAAACCACAAGCTTGTCTTTCCTTACAAGAGTCTACTTAAGTTCCAATTCACATCCTTTGCACTTGGAAATAAATTCATTGAAAAACTAATTCAACAGAAAAGCCCAATTGACTTCAAACTTAAAGTCTTGAAATTCAAAACGTGCAAACAAATAAAGCTGAAATTGCATGCTCCTTGGATTCTATTGTGTTTTAACCCCTTTTAAGGCGCAGGCAAGCCAAAGAAACGACCGCGTGTCTTTCCGTCTTAAATTCTATGTATTTGTTAATTAGATTTGTACTTTGAGCATATTTCTGTTTGCAATCCAGCTCAATGTAGAAGAAGCAAGCTGCGTCCTCATTAGAATCCATTTAAACTCTTTTTAAGATCCAATTTGGAAGCATCGTCTTTAGCATCTAATTAAAAATAAGAAACCTCGTTAAATCAACTAGAAAAAACAACTAGCTTGTGTCAATTGGTTCTAGTCAGACTGCAAATAAATTCTAATTAGAGTCCTACTTGGAAAGAACTCCCTATTCAAAATATGAAGAAGAAAAAAAAACCATAGAGCTGAAATTGCATGTTGTAAACCTGGATTTGCTATCGACTGTTCACTCCTTTTAAGGAGCAGGCAAAAAAGCAGAAACAAACTTGAGGCCAGGAGGAGGCAAACGAATTGAACCAGCTCAAGTCGAATTGACTTCTCAATAAATTCTGGGTTGGAAAGGAATTCCAGTCGAAATAAGAATTCCTTGAAGCCTTGCAACTTTAAGACATGTAAACCAAGTAAACCAATAGAACTGAAAGAGCCGGTTCCTCGGATTTCTTTTGATTCTTTACTCCTTTAAAGGGGAGGGCACCTTAGAAGTCACGGCCAGTGTCTTTCCTCACTAGATTCTATCTCAAATCTGCGAGATGCAACATGCTTGCAGTGGATGGAACACCAGGGTCTATGAGACAGATGCTGAAATTGGGCTGCCCTTCTTCTGGAGGGCCCTGTTTGTTTTTAAGCAGGTTTTTCATGTGATTCTGGTCTGGGGGCGCCTTTCTTCTGGAGGACCCCTTTTTCTTGGTCTGTCTCTGTTCTTCCCGCCTTTCTAATGGATTTGTATGTTGAGAGATTTCCGGTTTGGGGCGGATTCTGGATCTACACCAAGCATGAGATTTTTGCGCACCAGTTTGCAGTCAGCTGGGTCCATCAAAATCCCTAGGCAGTTGGAAAGGAGCGCTGTGAGTCTCCGGCGTTTCCGCCCCGCCATTTGTTTTCGTTTTCTTTACTCGCGGGCGCCACAGTTCAGGAAGCCGCAGTTCGGCAGATCCGAGCGGCCTGGCTCGGATCGCAAGAGACCCGAGGATGGCAAGGCGAAGAAGGAAATCGCAAGCCATGTCGAGTTGGCAGGCTTCTCTATACTAATTGTTGCTTCAAGGTTGGGCCCGATGAAATCACCCAACGCTTGGGAACAAAGTCAAAGCCTACCTTAAAGTAGTCCAAGAAAGGGAGACCTGTTGGCCTGTTGAATCATCTAAGGGAAGCCCGGATTGAACCCATCCTCTAGGTAGTCCATGCTTCAGAGGAGGCCCCACAAAGAAACCTTCTTAGAACTGGGCCCGGGAACTTACCCGTCATCCAAGTGGCAAAGGGAAACAACCCCCCCGCTGGCTTTGACATCTCGAAGAGCAAAAAGGCGACAAAGAACGTGTCAAGCAATTGCTCTCAAGTAACTGCGAAAGCGAGACACATGGACAATGGAGGAGCTCCAGTCTCAGCACGCAGCAGGGATCCTTACAGTGAATACACCTGAACATTGCAACTTGTAAATGGTGGTTTCCAACTTTATTTCGGTGTGGAAAAAGCCATGCTTCAAATGGTTGTAAAATGGACATCTTGTAAGGAGCCCTGTTGAGTTATCAATGAACTAGACCTGTGCGCAAAGAGTTTGGATCCGCACCCACACAACTCGGATTCGGATGTGGATCTCTGCGAACAGCAAGTATAGATACCTAGGTCCTCCAGATTTTAAGAAGCTAGACAGAAGTTGGTACCCGTTTTTTCTTTTTTCGGTAGCCTATTTTAGTGGGGGAACCCTCCCAACCAAAAAAGTTGGTACAAGGGCACTACTGGGGGACCTAGATACTGTAGTTTACTTCCAGAATCAAGACAAAACTCATTTTGAAGTGCCCCCCACTCCCCTCAAGTCCATTCCAACTAAGCTCCTTCCCAAAACGCGCTGCGAAACAAGACGCCGCCACAATCACCTGCGCGCGCTCACAAGCGCCCAGCCATAGCCTGCCTTATTCCTCAGTTGGCTCTCCTTGGTCTTTGCCGTCAGTCATGTGCATAGGTGTCCTTTTAGGGCAAATAGATGGGTTTCCCTGGTATATGATTAAACCACCAGGTGAACCAGGAATCGAAACCCATCTATTTGTTCCAAAACAACCAAAAAGGACACCTATGGTCATGTGGGTCACTTTCCAAACGGCGTCCCACCAGGTCACCAGCCACCTCCTCGCCTCCCCCTCCGAAAGGCCCAAAAAGATTCCCCATCCCGGCGCCTAGAGCCGGGCGAGGGGCGACCTCCTGTCGCGCGCTAGCTTTTCGAGGCGGAAGGGTCTGACTGGCCGAACCAAAAAACCAAAAAGTGTGGATGATTCTGGGCTGCCCGTTTTCTGATCTCCCGCTAACAGTGACTAACTTTTAGCGGGTCAGATGGAAACTACCACTAAACACTAAAAGGCTAAAAAGCTAAGGGGATGGCTGGGAGCCACCAAGGGTTGTATCCGCAAAAAGCGCACGAGTCGGATTGGTGGGTGAAACTCAACTTGTGGTGAAACCAGTATGGGTGTTCATCGATAGCAACGTAGGGACCGAGAAACAAGCAAATAGATAGATCACAGTTCTGTATCCAGGGTCCTTGCACACTTGTATATATTCCATGGAATCTCAAGGGCTCAAACGCCCGGCCGTAGACCCCTTCCATCCAGTGGACCGATGCCAGTCCAAGCACTTTCGTCCCTTAGATCTATTTCGGAAGTATAAAGGAATTGTCACAGGGAAGTTGAGGAACCCTAGCTCAATGTTTTTGAATGGGCTGCTGATAAGCATGCCGCAGCAAAAGCCTGGCGGCATTTCAATGAAGGCCAATCGCTATCAAAGCACAGAACACAAACTCTTTTGAACTTCAGCATCTAAACTAATTATGCGCATGTTCTACCGTAGCCATGGATATTCTATTTAAGCCCCTGTTGTTGGCGCTGGCCTTCAAAAATCTGCTCGGTCCGTAGACAGTTAATGCTGTCAAAACGAGACACCCTGTGCTGAACGTGTCTTCGGCGGTATGGAGTGGAGCTGTTCACCTAACATCCCAGGTGTTGATACCCAACTGAAGAAGCCCAGGAAAAGAACTCGTCATGTGGTTGTGAATCTTTAGTTGGGGGCCCTTTGGTGGACATCATTTGGTTGGGGACTCATGTCCACCAACCTCTTGTGATGTGGTTCCCTATCAACATTCAGGGCCATCTTTGGAAAAGTCTCACTGAAACGGAAATGGCCACGCTGGCATTGGTCGATTGCATGTATCGTAGTGCCTTCGGTTGTCTCAACTATCTGCGTGGCGTTGCTTAAGGAAGCAATATTGCCATTGTCGGTCTTCACTACCAGTACTTTTTCCCGCCGGTCTGGCTCTTGTTGCCGTAGCCGCGGTGGTCTGACCATTGGCCGCTCTGTCCATTGTTGGTCACTCTGGTGACGGTCGTCCTTCGTGTTGCGCCACTTATTCTGTTCTGGCTCCTTTGATGTCTGTGTTGACTTTTGGACTTTCTTCGCTTTCTTAGCATTGACCAGAAGCCATAAGCGGAAGATACCAGTCCGAATCGCATCGTCCATTCATAAGCATCTCGTTGCTCACTTGATGTGTTCTGTTGATGAGGCCTTGTAATCGGGGATGGTCATCTGTGTTGGAGTCGCTACAACGATGATGACCACTTGTCTTCCTCCGGAATGGAGTTGAAAGCACGTCTGGAAGGTATCTGCGGAACGAGGTAGTCATCGATGCCTGCCATGTGACCGTGAACTCTTGCTTCTTCATCAAGTTCCTTTCCTGGCCTTCGGAAACCTGCTTCGAGAATCTTGCTCAAGCTCGCGCCGGAAGTGGCATGGGTTTTGAAGGAAATCTCGTTGCGATTCGCGATGAGAATGGCCTGATGGTGCATCATGCTCACAGGATTCCGCGGGCGCAGGTAGTGGCTGAAATCCATGGGGACGACTTCTTGAGATTGACCATCTCGCCAATCATCTCGCTGCTGACTAATGGGTTGACCGAAATATCAGTTGTCAACATCTCTGGCATGCACTTCGAACGATTCGTGATCATGTCCATTTGGCATGAGTGCTGAACTCTTCGTTGCAAACTGAAAAAGTGACAGCACAGCAGGTCGGATCGACATCTGCTTCGAGTCTACCAGTCAAGGAAACAGGCCGGCACATGCTTTTGGCCAAGAAGAGATCATCCCACGATCCTGACTGCGTGTTGACAAGTGGACCGCTGGGCAAGGACCCAAGCTCAGCGACTACGACGACATCAGTTGTTCAAAAGTCCAGGGAAGAACGTGATAACCTGGATCGAGGATTTCCGGACAAAAAGGTGACATGCGCCGAGCGCGGCAAACATTTGACCACTGAGATGCTCTGGCAAGATGCGGTTCCGATTGGCATCTTCCACTCAGTGTCAACATCAAAAAGACGCGCAGGGACAACATCCAGCCAAAGGAGTACCCACAGCCCAAGGAGAACAAATGGAAAGGCTGGAAGCACACCCAACAGCAGAGCCACCAAGACTGGACAGGTTATGAATGGTCGCACGAGTAAAGCAAGACAAACTATTCTTGTCCAAAACCGTGCTCTAGAGATTGGGCTTACAACTGGGAGTGAAGATTAATTTCTTTCAAGATGGCACGATTGCTTCCTCGACCAATGCCAAGAACATGATTGCAACACCAAAGATGGAGCAACCGAGCGCACTACGATACAACCAGCCAACTGGACGCTGCCTCGACTGCTTCAGTTCGTCTTCATTCCTTTTCGAAATGACTGTGCTCATATCCATGGAATCTGATGTTACGATTTTTCCGTATGACGCAGGCAATCCAACGTTTCACACAGCCGAAAACACCCACAGGATGTCTGCTTTTGCAGAGCACTGGTAAGAGTCAAAGGCGCACCCGAGTTTCAAATGGAAGAGTGTAGGTATTCTATTCTTTTTCATGGCTGCAGCACATTTGATGGCTACGGCATAGCACATATTCGACGCAGGAAGCCAAAAGAAATGTCTGTGTTTTTGTTCTGCTTTTGCTTGAGCAATAGGGCAAGCAAACACGCCTTGCAACAGCTTCAGGCAAATGATTCTGACAGGGATCTACGTGCATCGGGTACATTACCTAGGTCCTCCAGTAGAGAGGTTAGAATAAGGGTACCCTTTTGGCTCGTGACGCACGAATGTCTGTCGCGCGTGGGTCGTAGGGCATGCCGCCCTACTACCGGTGAAAAGAGGGGCGGGAGCCCCGCGCACAGACCCCCAGGAGAGACTCAACTGGGGGTGTGAAACAAGCAGGCCAACCACCAGTGGAGAGGGGGTGGGACCCCCAGTCCACTGGTGCACACATCTCAAAGTCGAAGGCCCGGCCCACCAGCCACCCCCGGAAGGGGTGCCTGGGGAGCGGGGCATGCACATAGTTCCGGAAGTAGCTGACTGTAGGCCAGGGTCACGGGGCGACCCCAGCACCAACTGCCCAGGGCTGCAGGGCATCCATCACGCAACAGCGCCCAGCGAGAATTCCCAATCTCTGGGTACTCTGCCGAGGCGGGAGGCCCGGAGTAGGACCCGCTGAAGCCACTTGTGCTCCGCGTCAGTGCGCTGGAGGTAGACGCCAGGCCAAGCACCACGTGGCCAAGTGACCCCAGCATAGCGGCCGAGCCGCGGCCCCCAGAAGTGGGGGAAGGCATCCGGGTTGCGCCGGGCGATGCACTTCCTCACGGCTTTGAAGTGCACCAAGAGGCCACGGGCCGTGGCAGCACCGCCAGCATACCTGACAATGCCAGGGCTGCGCCGCCAGAAGAGCAGAGCGGCCTCCAGACCGGGCTGGAAGTCCCCGCAGCGAATCGTCCACTGCAGCGAGCCATGAGGCCAGTCCAGCGGCTTGGTGAGGAGCCTCTCAACATGCAGCACAGTCGAGCCATGGCAAGGCTCAGTCTCTACATCTAACCCTAGGGCAACGGGGGCCTCAGGGGGGGGCACCTCGGGATCAGGGGGCTCAGGGGGCGGAGGAGGAACAGGGGTGGCCGCCAAGGCAAGGAAGAGCTGCTGGAGCCAGCGATGGCGCCGATAGGCAGAGAAGAACAAGGCAGACATGCGAAAGATAGGAAGGGCAAGGGAAGCACGCGCCGCCCGCTTGGCCGCACGGTCAGCCGCATGGTTACAACGCGCATGCATGAGCTCAACCGAACCAGGGCACTGGTCGAGAGGCAAGTGGCCCCGAATCCAGTGGAGGGTCAGAGTAAAACCAGAGGTGGCACGCAGGCGAACCAAGTCCCAAAGGGGCAGCCAGAGGTCAGCCGCCGCAGCATTGGGAGGCACACACCCCCTCAGGTGAAAGCCATGCCAGGCGCAGACCGCAGCTTGGGAGTCGGTGTGAACAGTGAGCCGACCGCGAGCAAGCTGAGCGGCATGCAAGATGGCGTAGACCTCAGCACGGTAGTTGTCCGCCAGGGGGCCCGGAACAGGACCAGAAGCGCACACACCAGCAGAGGCACTCACCACGGCAAAGCCCGCAGCAGCGAAGAGCAAGTGGTGAGGCAGGTAGACACTGCCATCACAGGTGGACATCCCCGCCGCCCGCTGTACCTGGGTAGCGGGGTGGTAGCGGGCCAGGGCACAGCCCGGAGGGCGGCATGGGCAAGGTCCGCAGGGATTTCAGCCAAGGCATGAGTGTAGAAGGAAGGGCCCTGATCCTCACGCTGGGCAGGCGGCGAACCAATGCGAGCATGGAGGGCACTGCACTGCACAAGGTGTGCCAGCGTCTCATCAGCGCCATCACAGAAGCGGCAGCCTGGGGATGCGGCCAGGTTGGAGGCATAAAGCCGGTCAGCCGTAGCCGCAGAGCCGACAACCACAGCAAAACCACACGGTTGGAGGGGAAAGCACGGACAAAGGAGCTCCAACCCGGGCCAGGTGGGACGAGCCAGGGAGAGCGAGTGAGCGCAACATCAAGGAGGCCAGACGGCCCCGAGACAATATCCGCACGCTTGCCACGGTAGGCGCGCTGGTAGGCGTGCTGAGCGATGGTCCACTGCAGGAGTCTTGCCAGGGAGCGAAGGGAGACACTAAACAGGGACATCCATGGTCCCGAGGCAAGGGCAACATCCGCAGGGGCCCGGAAACGCAAACCACACAAAGTGACCGCAGCAATCCCGTTGGAGACCAGCGTGGAAGGCATTATCCTAGGATTGGTAAAGGCGATCCGCCACTGGATGGCGAACTTCTCCGAGCGCTGGAGGTGGGAGGCCACATTGAGTACGGCGCGGTA